TACCTACTAAACTTTGAACATAGTTGAAAATCATGAACTAGTGCTGTGCTCACTTTAAGAATCTATTATCATGTAATTGCATAGGTTGACTGAAAGTAAAACAATGGAAAAGGAAGATATATTATGTCAACAGTAATTAAAAGAAAGCCATAGTAAACAAACTAATGTCAGACAGACTAAACTTCAAAACAATGATTTTTTTACTAGTAATGCAAGATAAATTTCATAATGATAAAGGAATATGCACCTGATAAATAGGTTAATACTTCATGGAGCAAAAGCTAAACTTAAGACAGAAATAGAATTTACTGTTGTAATTCAAGATATCAACAATCTTTCTTTAACAATTAAGAGAATAAGTACACAAAAATGATTAAATTATAGATTTCAACATCAAAGGTCAATTTACATTGGCCTGGATTGATAGAATGCTCCATTCAATAACAACAGAGCACACTTTCAAAAAAAAATGTCCGCATGAAACATCCCCATGGCATGGTATATTGTCAATTGTAAAGGAAATATTGACAAATTTAAAAGAAGTTAAATGACACTATAAAACAAAACAAACTAAAAATTCAAAACAAAAATAGAAGATCTCTAAATATTAGATAATTAAATGTATGTTTAAATAATCAATGGCAAACAAATACTTATAGAAAATTAGAAAATATTACAAATTCAAAAGCGAAAATCACAGTATAACAAAATATATACAGTATAGCTAGAATGATGTTTAGAGGAAAGTTTATAACACTGAATACCTTTAATAGAAAAAAATATATATAATCAAACATTTAAGCATTCACTTTAAGAAAATAGAAAATTATGCACAATTGAAACCCAAAGGAGACAAAGGGAAAGATGTAATATGAAGCAATTATATAAAATGATGAAAATAGTACACAAAAATCAATGAAATAAAATGCAGTTCTTTGAATACATATAATGAATATAATTCCAGATTATGATAGAGAAAATATTGAACAAAAATAATACTAGAGTTAGAAATAAAATAGGAATAGGAGTCATTCAACAGATATCAAAAGAAAAACAATACTATACATAACTTTAGCAATTAATAAAATGGACACATCTGAAAGATACAAGTGGTGAGGATACACCTAGAAAAAAAGGTTCCAATGATTATCCCTTGAGCTGTCAAAGAATTTGAAGCTTTAGTTAAAAACTTTTCCCACACAGGAACAAATGGTTTAGGTGGATACACTAATGAATTTTCCACACTTATATGAAAGAAAGAATACAAATTCCACACAAAATTTTTGAAAAGCCAGGTGATGGTGTAATTTTTCCTGACATCTTATAAGAAAATAAAAGACCTACATCCATTACAAACAGAGATTTTTAAGACTATTATGGTAGCAAAAACAAACACACAATCATATAGCAAAAGATAATATATAATGATCATATGGAGCTCACCTTGGGAAGGCAAAATTACTAATGACTACATAAGCAAAGAGACTAAGCACAAAATCATCTCAAATATTGGAAAGCAATATTTAAAACCATAGATGAATCTTTTTTTTTTTGTACCAGGAATTGAACTCAGGACCTTGTGCTTGCCAGGAGGGCACTTATGCCACTGAGCTATATCCCCAGCCCTAAAATACCATAGATGAATCTTAAAGGCATTATTCTAAGTGAAAATAAACCAGACACTAAATAGCACATACTGTATATTTAATTCCTATGGCTTCTGGGGAAAGGTAAAACCATAAGGCAGACTTAGTAGCTTCTGGGACTTGGAGGTGGTGGAATGGAATGATTGAAAGGGGCATGATGTAAATTTGGGAATTAAGAGAACATTTCTGCACCTTAATTGTGGTGGAAGTTACAAATTTCCCATCAAGCTGTACAATTTGTAAAGGGTAGAGTTTGAATTCCATGTGTGATAATTATACTTCAAGAAGCTGACTTGAAAAGCAGTTAGAAAGTATTAGCAGTTAGAAAGTATAAGGGTACCTGGATCAGTCAGGGTTTACTAGAAAAACACATATAACACAAGATATGCAAATGTACAAGAAATGACAAGTTTGACTTGCAATGGTCAGCCACAGCCTTGGATGAGGAAGTATGCAGAGGGTGTCTGCACAATGGAGATCGAAGAGTCCAGCCCAAGGTCTAGAGCTCACTGTAGTATCCCAGCAAGTCCATATCAGAAGGTAGATAGGTCTGTGACAGAATACTGAAAAATCTACAACAAACACTGAAGAGTCTATATCAGAAGGCTGAAGAGTTCCAGGAGGAACGGTCTGCACCAGAAGCCAGGAGATGACCAAGCTGAAGGCGAAGACTGGAGCTCCTCCGAAGAACCAGCAATCAGTCCCTCTTTGTTTCCCTTTTATTGTATGCAGCCTTCCCACCCTGGGGATGGGGTGATCCTCTACAAGCACACCATCTCCATCTCCATGTCTCTTTCTCTTACACAGACTCAGGATGAATACAAAGTAAGGATCCTGGCTCCCTGTTCAGTCACATAGTTAACCTTTTAAACTTACCAAGTTGACCCAGTGAACAACATCCTAGAGCAGGAAGAGCATGTCCTTTTTACCCCAGGGTGTAGAACTGCTGAGTTACTTAGTTAAGCTTTTAGACTCCTCAAGTTGACACAGTGTATCAACCGTAACCATCCCTGTGGCAACATAGGGCATATTGGTCTTTACAAAGACTTCTATTTGTAGGTCTGTCTGAAATTTGAGCTTAAACTATGTGCTGGGTCTCTTTTATCTCCCTTCTCTCCATTATTTTACCAGTTAGATTCCACCAAGGGAAATGGAAACTAGAAAAAAGTACTGCAATCTTAGTTTTTGGTTTACAGGTTGCATCCTCCTCTAGTTTGCTCTGGACAAGTGTTGTCTTTTGATAAAAAAAAAAAAAAGGTCACACTTCTGCAAGACAACTTTCTGTCCTGGAATTCTTGTGTCCCTGGGTGCCTGAAATCCTTGTTACCCCTTCAGAACTAGGGAACTGTCTATTACTACATCATTATATTGCACCATCTCTCTGGTTCCTATACCTTCTGCACAAATTGCATTTTCTTCCATTTACTCAGTTTGAAGGTACCTCTTTTTTTTTACCACCAGAATCCTGACTGACACAGACAGCAAGCTTCAATCTCTGGTTCCAGTACTTTTAAGCTATAAGGACTTGGGCTATGCATTTAACAAATTTAAACTTCCATGTTTACACCTGTCACATATGAGTAATGCCTCATTGAGAAGGTTTTTTTGGGAATTAAATAATAATATGTCAACTGACAAAGTATTCATCAATATTTTCCTCCTTTCCATCTCAGTTTCTCTCCATCTATCACTGAATCCTTATTTTCTATGTCTTTTATCTCTTTTCACCCTCCCATTTCTCCTCCCTTTTTAAAGATATTTGAGTTTTTTTCTATCAAGTACAAATGCATAAGTAGAACACTTAGCCATGTATAATGTATAGAAGCCTGTATACATGGCTTAAATGTACCATGATTGTGTTCCTGGAATAAACTGTTGCTATTTCTACTGCTGCAGAACAGTTAAGTCAAACTTTTGAATTAGGTCAACAAAATCCACAAATAGGGTGGAATCTTTGGACTGTCTAAGCAGGGACAGATCTGGAATAAATCAGGTGCAGATATCACTTGTCAGCATGCTAAGGGAGACATTTCAAATAAGGGTAGAAGGTCCGTCAAGTGTATTGGCTATGGTACTGTCAAGAAGCATCATTTAAATCTATATTGAGAATTTTCCATCATGTGTATTCCGGTTCATAATTATTTCATGGCAGTAATGTCTAAACAAGGGTCCACAATAAGGCTGTATTTTTATCTTGACTTGTAAGCTATCACTGCCAACTACTCACATTTCAAGCTTGTGCAGACATATGTTATCCCTGGAAACCCTTCATAAAAATGAAGCGTTTTACTGTCCCACCAATTCAGCGTGTTCTGGTCAGCTCTCTCTTATTCCAAATTAACCATGTAATCATTCCTACACTAGTGAGTAGTATTTTAAATGGCTTTTCAGCCAAACCAAAAGGCACAAATTCATTTCTATTTGTGCAAAAGTATGATCTGGTTTGGATTCTGTTTTCTAGCTTTGTAAGTAGCAAGACAGAATGCATGGGCAGAAGACTATGTGCAAGATGAAAGAGGCTTGTATTTGAAATCGGGCTCTGTTTGCCTCCCCTAGCTGCATGGTCTCATAGAATCACTTCATTTATCATAGCCTCATGCCCTGTGTCTGTTAAATGGGAGCCTGCTGCTGGACAAATAAGCCAATAAAGATTTTAGGACATAATTTATTACCTTTAGAATGTAACAGTCTATTTTTTAAGAATTTGTGAATTAGTAGACAGTGAGAATGAAAGACACCTTCAGAAAGAAGCAGGAATACTTTTGGTTGAAAGGACATTAAAATACTGGAAAATAAGAGCAAGATAAGAATGACTACAACATCTGCATTTAGAGCCTGCATGTCACAGTTCAGTATTTATAGGTTTGTTAGCGACAGGCTTCCCAGCACAGCTCGTTAATTACGACGCAGCTAGGAGTTTCGCTGACACAGCACTGTGCACCTGACCAAGGCTGAGAGACTCGTTACCTCCATAGATGATCATCTCATGAAGGCTCTGAAAAGGGCACTAATAAATCAGTTTGGGTTTCTGGTTATAAACTCTTTAAATCTTACTTTGAAATGCCCTGGTGAGTTTAGCAAATTTTAGGGCATTTTGTTTTCCAAGTATGATTTGTCATACTCAGAGCTGGACTAAAACCTCAGATAGAGGTGACGGGTCTGACGCTGAATACAATACTAAATATATACTTAAATTTTCCGTAGTTAAGCTCCCATTGCTCTTAAATGCCATAAAGCCATAGATAGAAGAGGAAAACAAGGGGAGGGGAGAGGGAGCGAGGGAGGGAGAGGGAGAGGGGGAAGGAGGGGAGGAGGGAGAAGAGAGTGGCAGAGAGAGAGAGAGAGAGAGAGAGAGAGAGAGGGAGGACTGAAAAAAGCCTTGGGAAAATGTGCAGTGGAAAATCTGTAGAAATGATGTAAGAGAAAGCAAAGGCAGGGATTGGAGTGAGAGATGTATAACTGAGACTATAAAAACTTCGAAAGAAAATTCACCATCAAGGCTGGGATCTGGAGAAACTACACAGACAGGACTCTACAGTCAGAATCTCCTGATTTATTACAAGGTAAGTTACATGTAAAAACTGATGAAGATCTAAGGTTTTCTTTCCCTCTTAAACTGTTATGTTTGCTTCCACATACTTTTAAAATATTTTTCATATCTTGGTTTTGTTAAAATTAAAATGGGTTTGTTGGGTATAAATTTTCCCTTTCTGAAATGATTAGATTATCCAAGAGATTTCTGTAATTCAAACTGACGGTGGAGCTAATTGTGTGCTCAGACACTTCATACTAATTACATTGTTTTGTGCTTTTTCTTAAAATTTCAAAGCAAAGAGGAAACGAGAATGATCCTACCTGATGTTAACGATATTACTTTGTTTTTAATCACAGATGTCAATATCAGGAAATTACTTAATGAACAAAAGTGGTCTAGTTTAAATAATTTGTGTAGAAAGGAAGGTTTTTCTTTTATCCTCACTTCTATCAAAATTGGAATATAAGAACATGTTTTAAGTAATCAAACTACATTCTATAAATCTAAAGCATCCATTGCTTTTATCATTAGAACAATGAAATATATAAATATGACAGTAAAATTTAGTTGAAGTAGACTTAAACTATGTCTTTTCAGGATTAGAAGTATTCTTGCTATTTAGTGATTGAATTAAGAATTGTAATTCCAAATTTGTTTGGAATTTTAAATTTGTTTACAGTTTACAGTTTTAGAGCAGTTTTGTTTCAGGTTTTGATCTATAAATCTAAGCATGCACTCAATAAGCTCAGCTTGAATGATACGAGATAGTTCTCCTTTGAATTAGAATAGACAATAGGCTTAGGAACATCATTATTATTTGTTCTGAGTTATCCTTTTAGAAGTGGATTATGATGATTTTAAAGCACATAAAAATTACAGAATTACTACTGTCCCTGTGCTAGTTATCTACCCAAAATCATCTGCATCTTCTCTGCTTTTGTGCTACTCTGATACAACATTTTTCTAAAGAAAGCCTTGTGTAGTTATGAGTTGAAGCCTCCCTTATCCAGGAATCACCCTATGGCTTCATTCGAGAAGTTAAAGTTCGTAAGTTTGACATTTGTTTTCCCAAGGTTTTTTTTTTAACTGATTCCTATGATGAATCATGAGCAAGAGAGAAGCAGATATCTTTAGTTGACTAAAGGGTCACCTCAAACCTCAGCGTTTCCATAATAAAATATTCCTAATGATTTGTTTTACTGAGTGATAAATTAGATTAATTGAGCTTGCCTCAAAGGAAAATAATTCAAGGTAGGAAATCCAAAAATATTGTCCTAGCTCTGCCAGCATACCTAGATGCTTGAGACAAGCTTTAAGCATGAATCATAGTTCAACAGTACCATTTACTGAAAGAGACAAAAGAAATAAACAGTACAGGCATAAGAATAATAGTGACCAGGAGAAGCTCTCTTATGAGTCACTTTTCCCCATTACACAGAAAAAGGACTCAGTGTCACAGAATCTAGAGACTAATCTTTAGACATTACCTAATTTAACTTTTTATCAACATTTTACCTAATGTGATCCCTCCCCATCAGCGATTTTTGCTTAGATTTGATAATGAAATCAAAAGAGCACAAGCTTTGGAAACAGAAAACCAGACTTCTATTCACAGCCATGATTTCCACAGCTTTGTGAACCTGGACTAATCATTCAGCCTCCCTGAGGCTTTTCCTTACTCTTGGTGAGTCTGTGGGGCTGAGTTAGGGACCTACAATTTCCTCCCTAGCCCTGGAAACCTCTGTAACCAGCCCAGCTCCCTTAGGTTGGGTGATGTCTTTTTGGTAAGGCATTTTTAGCTGAGCTCATTCCCTGATTCTCCAATTAGGTATCAGGATATCTTCATGGAGCAGTGACAAGCATCACTTGCTACCGATTGCCTAGTGTCTGGTTGGCTGAAAGTGGCTGCTGCTCAATGTTGCCTTGTATTCTGCACAGACACTTCCATTAGCTCAAGCCATTCTACCAAACACCCCGCCCTGCAGTAACGATGCTCCTGCCACAACCTTCTCTCTCTTCCTCCTCACATATCTTAGCACTTCCTCACCACCTCTCTGAACCTCCCTTTCAAGCAAACTCATTCACTCCGAGACTCACTTTTTCTGTCTACTGAGAGTGTTAGATTTGGCAGTTTCTAACACTGCCTCTGCCTTTCTAAAGTGCTGCATTCCTTTGACACAAAGACTCTCCCTCCACACATGAACATTGCCCTTGAAAAGCATTATATATAAAATGATATCAAAAATTCACTTTGGTTGATATAATTCAAGCTTGAAGACTAATTATGTTTTGAATACCACTGAGTGCTCTTCCCATTTGCCTTTTTCCCAGGAGGATATTCTCTGCAACTTGTGTGTTACTACTTTCACAGGACAGACAACAATCATACAGTAATACATCATATGAGCCTTTGCATTTAGGACTTTCTTTAGTGAAATTACTTTCCCTCACTCAATGATTTTATTATATTTTATTTTCCAGATGCCAAGGACTAATTTTGTTCCTTAAAATTATGGATGGAAAATGACATTTTTTCAGAAAAGTAAAAAAAGCTAGTAGAAATATTTTGAAGAATTCTCACATTTAGAAGACTATATCTGGATAATATAAATATTACTTCTTGACTAACAAATTTGTACTAGTAACTTTCCATGTATTGTTCCTAACCCTCCATCAACCTGCAAATAATCCTTGTCCCATTTTCCTGATAAAGGTGTTAAAAAACAGAGGCTAAATAATATGTCTGGTCAGGATTAAGATTTAGGTCTACACATCATGACTAAAGCCTTTCTACTCATTCACTTTGTTGTTTTGGAAAGTGTACCGTCAATGCCAGGAGATAGATAGAAAATCAAGGTTCTAAAATAACTTAAATTATCTTAGTTTATCAATTTTGTATAAAATAGAATTATAATACTGTCTGTATTAAATCGAGCCTGATTGTTGTGAAGATTAAGAAAACAAATTTATGTTAAATTAGTAAAACGCTATCCAAATGATTTTTAAAATTTGCTTACACTTCAAGTTACACTTGAAGGAAATGCAGTTGCTCAAGATCAGCTGCTGCAGGAAGAAATTTCTGTAAGTGAACAATGTAGGTAGGGGACAAGAGAGTCTTACTGACTTTTATCATTCTGGTACTCACATACAGACAATGCCTCATAAGCACATCCTGTGCTTGCGTATTGTAAAAGTTATGATTTCCTTCCTTCATTTGCAATTTAGAGAGTACTATTTCATTGATTACATCAGCTTACATAATATAAGCCAAATGTAATGTTTTTATTTAGTATTATATATGAGTACAAAATGAGACAAAGAGTGAAAGGTGCAGTGATATTCCAGCTCATTTTCAAGCGTATATATCCTATATTTAACCTCATTTATCCAATTTCACTGTGAAAACCTTTTCTATGCCACTTTAAAATTACCTATGTATCCAATGGCCAACCAGCGTATAACTTGGACCTCATGGTTTTCCCTATCCACAGTTTTAAAGGTTCTTTTTGTCCCTTTTAGTGGGCATTAGAATTAAACAACAAATTTTAACGTAACTGTGTACAGTCATATGCCAAAGTTCTTTTACATTTATAGGTATCATGGTTTCATATCAGGAAATGTTTAGCTATACAGAAATCTAAGTGCAGGTTATTGTTTAACAAGAAGAAATCTTAAAACTCTAGAAGGACGATTATTCTGGAATAGGGACACATGCCACTTTCATTAGAATGAGACTGGATCAGGTGTAATGTTAAAAGACATGCCAGGATTCTAAAGTGAGCTTCCGCACATTCTACTCTAAGGATAAAGACTTGGATCAGTCTCTTCTCTTTTCTAAATTTATGTCAGATTATTGACACGGATTTAGTGTACATGTTGATAGAAGTGGCACTGAACTCCTGTTTAACTACCATATGAGGCTGCTTCCTTCCTTCATTAAGAACATCACGCTGACTCTGTGCTAGGCATCCTCTTACATGCCAAGAAGCATTGGTGAACACGGTTTAGTCACCGTTCTCTCAGAAGCTCACAACTAAATTCTGTCAAACCGGCCGATCTGACTTTCAACGGGATCTTTCTTTTGTAAGGTGATAGTACGTAGAAAAGAGTGGAAGTGGTGCTAAGAAGAATAAAATAACGTAATACACATGCACAAGTAAATTATCCTTCTTCCTGATTTGCAGCATTCAGGGAAAATGACATATGAAGATCTGCACTGCGTTTAAAGTCACTTTAAAATGCAGGTGTCTATCACATTAGGAATAACTCATCCAAAATTTCTTTATTTGAAATTTGTTTTGGGGTGGAGACATGTTTTATATTTATACAAATAGGTTATACTTGAAAGAGCATGAAACTAGGAGTCTGAAAATGTAAGTTGTTACTATGGCTCTCGTAATTGGCTTCATGACTTTGGAAAATTTACTACGGCCAATTTACTGCTTCTTCCTAAGAAATAAAGAAGGATACATTCCCCATACTTTCATTTTTTGTAAAATAAAATCAGGAAATGTTAAATTTCTCAGTATCAACTTGCACTTTATTTTCAAAATTATACCCAACACATAAAGTATAATGACCATCATGTAATTTATTTAATTTCATAAGGAAAGTTTTAAATAAATGGCTAAGCATCATAAGTATTACTCGGATGTACTGTATTTTGGTGAGAATGATATGCATGATATATATGTCAGCAAAAAAAGCTACAAGCTATACTTCAATTGCTCTTGATTCAACTGTTCCTCATTTTTAAAACTTTTATTTGAATTATAAAAATATTAAACTTATTCCCTGCTTCCAAGTACTGAATGCCACAGCTACACTCAATTGCTGTTTGTGAAGCCAATTTCACCAAAGTTTGTGGACTCACAGCCCCAGTAAAGAAGTGAACCCAGTGATATGAAATTTGAGGTTAGTGTTCCAACCATCTGGTTGCTTCATTCATCAAAACCAGAAACAACCTTGCTCAAAACTCCATTAAACTATTGCTACTCACTGAAATATTGAGATTATCTGTATAGTGGC